ATATGTACCAAGTGTAATGCCGCTCGAACTCTGGTTCAGCCTCTTAAGTGCTGCTATTAGTTATAGTTTTATTTAGATAGTTTTTTTTATGTTTGTATGTCCTAATTCGGGCCCGCAGTAATTGGCTCACGCTGTTGCGGTCACCCTGCCTATAGTCATGTATTGTAATATGGCGAAACTAATAAATAAATAAATAAATAAAGTTTGAACCGTGTTTCCACTTTTAGAAAATAGTATTTCCTGCCATTAAGCTTTAATAATGATAAATTTCCTCCAAATTTAAATTAGGCTCCCAGCCTCCCCATACATGTCAAGCGGTACGTTTCGTACAAATCAATCTTTGCAAAATCAAGAGTACAAATATAAAATACTTTTCCTACATCTTACAATTTTATTCGAGAGTCGGCATGCGGTTTTTTTCCTTTTTAACAAATTTATTCGGATCAAATTAAAGAAAAGAAATATTTAGCGAGTGATCCAAAATGGCAAGGTACGAACGGGACCCATGCAAGGCACCTGCCAGCAGAGTTGCAAGTTATATAGAACTGAAAATAATTCAATATTAATATATATATGTTACCAAAATTACTATGAAGGAGTGGATGAGAGAGAAGAAAGAAATGAAAGAGGTGAACAAGAAGAAAGAATGAAAGACCTATCGGCAAACAAACACACGGAGAGATATACGGACAGACAGACAGACACATACACACAGCACACGCACATAAACTTAAGTCCTATGGCAGGGACAGTCACGTACCAAGGACCAGGTACAGGGTAATTCAACATCGTAGACTGTGTGAACAAGATGAGAGTATTTCAGTTTAAGAAAGTTTCTCAAAAAGAGATAGGACTGGGAAAAGTATCAAGATTAACCTCTTTACACACAATACTCCATGGTTTAACTATATACGGTTAAAATACGATGATTTAAACGTGGTGGTATAACTGGGATTACAAAAAGATGTTTGGAGGATAACACTAGTGATCTGACTGGTGTTTGATCTAGTGTTTTGGACGGTATATTCCTCGTATAACAACCTAGCCATAAGTTTTGAGGAAATTCTGGCCAACTCTCAACTATTAACAGGCTGCCGAATCGGCTATACAGTTTTGGACAGTGATGATATATACAGTCATATGATTAGAGATTTATAGGATTATAATGGTAATTACTTGAGATTTTTCCGAAGCCTCTCAATATCAGTTTAGGTGTGTCAGGATACTGGATATTTGGATTGAATTCAATAATGTATATAATTATGTCATTATAATAACAATTACAAAATTTATCTAGCGAACATCCCCATTGGCCATGAATGGGCTATGCATTCCATACGTTAGTTAGTCTGAAATGCAATTTTTCCATTTGCCGTTTGGTATAATGTTGCTTTACCCGACAAATATTTTCGTGAGTGTTCATTATTTATACTTAGCGTTAACATACATGCACTGAGAAGGGCATCGACCCTGGGGGGAAATTGGGGGACGCATCCCCCTACTGTTAGGGTTAAATATATAATGATCTACCTCATTTTTTGCCATAATTATTTTCCCTCTCTACAATTAATGATACATGAATAATTAATAGTTATTTATCGTCAATTGTAGTCAAACTGACATTTGTCCAAGAAAAATTGCCCTTTTAAAGAACCACTGACATGCACATGCATTAGGCCAGGAAAACGTCTTGAAATGCCAAGTGGCCGCAGTTAATCCACATCCACCCAAAGGCTACATTTTAGAGATCTTTTCTTCGTCTGCATGGTACATCGGTGAAGACGAAGGCTCTAAAAGGCACAAACACTCCCACCTCGGCCATGTGATCCATTCCTTCAGAAAATGTTATATAATTAATCAATCATTATTGATCAATGACTTCGTTGTTAGGTGATAACTCCGTGAAAGTTGCATGCTCAAACGGATGTGCATTTAGTAGGTGGATCAACTCAATCACCCGCATTCATAAAATAAAATCCCAGTAAAATGTGTAGATTCTGACCTCTCTTTCCCTTTTTCTGTAAATTCTAGTCGACTTCAATACTCATTAAGTTTTCCTTACTTGTCAATTTGACCTTCTCGTTCCTGTCTCTGAGAGCTTCGAAAGGGATACATGGGTAACTTGTACGGGAATATTGTATTTGGAATTCAAAATAAGAATATGTGGTAATAGTATTTATGCACAAGTAAATATAACAAATCCTACAAGTTGATTGGTCAAATTTGACCAAAATCGAAATTTGCAAAATGGCGGCTAGCTGTTTTGTCGAAGTTACTGAAAGAAATAAACGAAATTAAAATAAAATCAGTCCCCAAAACACAAAAGACTTGTGTAAAAATACTAAAATAATTATTCGTCGAAGGCGAGGTGATTATCGGGAAATATTCACCTCGACTTCGTAGTAGGCTTTAATCACCCTGATAATCACCCCGCCTTCGGCGAATAATTGTTAAATAACATGTGCAGGCAAATCGAATTCTATCTCATTTGTATTATGTAAAATATGTTCTATGGACAAAAACTTTACCGAAGTCTGTTTGGCTCAGTATATTGCCCAAAAAACTTTTCAAACAACTATGTATATGATAGCAACCAGCTGATAAAAGTAAACATACATTAATCCAATTGGCAATATATAGTTGTTAAAAATTGACGTCTTCAGTTTTCTAATTAACAGTTTAATTTCTTACATTTTACTCGGAAAAATTGCGATTGCAAATCTCTCCGCGACTTCGAATGATATTGTGAAAATCTTGCTGGCATCGATCTACTTTATTAGCTATGGAATTGCCTTTAAATAAAATACCATTGTAAAACACTCACTAAAAATTTAAAAGACTTTCTTCCGGCCTTTTTTACATAATTCTCAAGATCTCAAAAACCTACTCATAGATCAGTAAAAGCCGCTTGTTGACCTTGTTCCGCCGATATTACTTTCCAGATAACTGTGGGAATCTTGTATTTGATATGTGATCGACTTTCTTCGAACGGGTGTTGGATCAATCTCGTATCTAGAGAGCCATTTGATTGGGCGGCTTATATATTTTGGGGGAAAATGGCGCCTTTGCCTATTCAAATTATTTTCTCTGTTTGTATTTTGCGGTGTCAAATAAACTATAAAACGTCAATTATGTCATAATTAAGCTAGATTTCGGATGTGCTCCTTGATTGGTCAACTACCATGACCAACAAGCCCATGGTTCAACCAAGGGCATGTATGTCATGGTGGAAAATGCGTCCTTTATTGGTCAATTATCATGATCATGGTTCAGTTATTACTATGTTTCAGCCAATGGCGTGCGATCATTCAAACAATGCGTTCTAACCGCAATACTCAAGTGCTTTGCATATTCCTTTAAATAGACTCGACACAAAAACAGATGTTCATTTTATACCATTCACATTACATACCAAGGACTAGTAACATAACTAGCCGAACTCAGCTTTAAAATTTGTCAACTGAACATCGAAAATGTCGACGCGTTTGATAACAGTTTTTGGTGCAACGGGCGCTCAGGGTGGTGATGTAGTCAAGGCTCTTCTTGCTGGGGAAAAATTCAAAGTCCGAGGCATCACTCGCTCTGTGGAGAGCAAAAAAGCAAAGGAACTCGCCTCCCAAGGCGTGGAGATGGTGCAAGCGAATTTTGACGAACCGGAGTCGCTACATAAAGCGATAGCTGGTTCGTACGGTGTGTTTTTGCTCACAAACTTTTGGGACGGCATGGACGGAGCTCGCGAGACAAATCAAGGCAAAAGCGCCGTTGACGTATGCTTGCAAGAAGGTGTTAAACATCTGATCTATAGTGGCTTGGAAAATGTTGAGAAGATGCATGGGTTTGTCGTAGGTAAGCTATGTCGGTGGTATTTAATATTCTGTATCTTATTTGTACCCTCGTTGCCACGTTTTTATTTTAATTTACAATTGTATTAGACTTCTAAATTAAATATTGACTTGATTTTTATATCACTAGAGTTAGAGACGGTTAATTTATTTGACAGATCGTCCATATATCTTACCCAGCAGCCGCAGGTCACGGCAACTTTCGAGGGTGTTAATCTCCGATAGCGTATCAGAAAACACTTAAGGTGGCTATTTTACCAAGTCGTTTTTAAGTTAAATCACTTAAAAGCCAAAATATCCGCCATATTGAAAAGTCATCACTGCCATAGTAACTGCAGTTACGTAACTTTCCTGAAAAAATTCAAACCCTTTAGATGATTTTTAAGTATAATAATACTCTTTGTTTTTTAAGATGTGATTTTTTTCTATATCGCGTATTTGCGATGAAAATCGTTCAAAACCGTAATTTTTTGGCGTGTACCTCATTACTTTCAATTTTGTTTTCTATTTTATACAGTTCGCTACCTTTCTAAATTAATCTGGTAGTTCAGAAACATAAAATAAAATTGAAAATTGTTAATTAAAACACATTTATCAACCTAGAGCAAATTACGTTACGTAATCTGCACAAATCTATTTTTCTTCTTAAAACCCATTAACAAACACACCGCCCCCAATTTAAAACAAATGTCTTTCTCGAGAAGCGATATGCTAACAGCATACCAGGTAATCTGACGGTGAGCAAAAGGACTAGGACTAGCAACAGAATAGAAATCCAGTTTCGTACCTTTAATCACCAACCTCGCAAGCCAGGGTTTGAGGTTGCTTTAATCACTTGTCACGCCCTGATTTTTTTGTGAAACTCTTTGAAACTTTGTGTCTGTGTCTTGCAACTGGGAGATGAATATCTGGGACAAATTTGAGATAGAAATCTAATACCGTTAATGAGATATTGAGTAATTTTAAACCAGAAATGGATTTCCATTTTACAACTAGTGCCAGGCCTTTTCCGAGTTCCGAGATCATCTGGAGATAATCTCACTACAAATTTATCACTTTCAATGCCTAAAAGATAATTTTTCGAAACAACCCCGTTCAAATACAGCGAGGCTATAGCTACGCCATGGAATTTACCTCAATAATGATTTCTTTGTTATTATAGTTAAGTAACTTAAGTGCTTTGTATAGTGGTCAATGTTTTTTATGTACAGTCCAGACAGCACCCATTGAAACCAGCTGTTGCCGATGGGGCTATGGTTTTTAAATAAAGTTTTAAATAATACATTGAGCTATTTCGCATACATTTTACTCTGCCACGCAAATCATGACAAATTTTTGCTAATTTCTCTTTCAATTTTCATACAAATTTAATCATATTTTTAAAAACTCAATAATACATGGGGAAAAGACAGAAGAAATCACTACCGTGTCGGTGGTTGTATATGTGATAAAAAAATCATGTTCATTTACAAAAACTTTTGCTTTGATTATATCGGCTTTTTAAAATTACTTCGCCAATTGAGTCCATATTTACAGCAATAAAAATAAAAATAAAACTTACTGAATTTCGGATATCACGTTCTCTTTGGCGTACAATCCAAAATCTCTTCCTTTTAGCAATATTCTACAGAAAAAAGTACAAAACATACATTTTAAAGTTTGCCAAATATTATTGTAATAACCTTTTGTTTTCTTTGTTGGAAACAACGAAATCAAAGGGCCGCTTATAAAAACAATGTTTGGCTTATTTATTCAGCAATCTGGCAACCCTGTGTGTCTCCAAAAAATCGCGTAAACCTCGAAAAAAATCCCTATAAAAATACCCGATAATGACTCTAATAAATCCCTTAAAATCCTCAAAAATCAGTATAAAATCCCTAAAAATCCTCAATAATCTCTGAAAATCCCTACAAAACTCGAAAAAAGGAAAAGGTGGAGGGGGGACAAAAGTTTTCCCGATATTCATTAAATTGCCCGACCAATAAAAAATTTTTTTTGGTTATTTTAAAAAGTTTGTGTCGACGGGAGAGGGGGAGGGGAATTTCGTAATTTTACTTAACGTATTTTCAAAACACTCTTCCTATTTCGACGCGATTTTAATACGCGCCGCACTTCGACCTCTTCCCTACATTTGGCCGATTTTTGAGTAGAATTGCTCAATTCAGTTTAAGTGCAATTTGCCCGGTTTTTAAGTCGCTCGGTACTGCATCTGGTACGGTTTTACTGTTTTATATAAAGCCAAGAATCAAGATTATTGTGGACGATAACGACCTTATTGCTAAAAGACAAATCACTTGCAAAAGAGTCCATGCACTTATTTTGTGAATCATTATTTGTTGTTAAAACGCATCAGCGCGATACTTTGATTACAATCGAAGGTACAATGATACGAACAGGATGTGCAACTTTAATTAAACAAGTTTTGCATTAATTTAATTTTAGAACATTTTGACTCAAAAGGCAGAGTGGAAGAGTACATAAAGGAGAAAGCAGGCGCAATGATATAGAACAGTGTAAGGATAGCAGGATATTTTAACAACTTCCTGACTTTCTGGAAACCGAAGAAACTGGATGATGGCACATACGTCTTGGACCTTGCTATGGAAGGAAAGCCGATGTATGGAATGGACGTTGAAGATTTCGGAGAATGTGTTGCAAGTAAGATAATTATTATCACTTTTGTGATAATGGTGGTGGCAATGGTAATGATAGTGGCGGTTGGGATGGTATTGATGATGGTGGTGGTAATGGTTGTGATTATGATGGTGGTGGTGACGGTGATAATGGCGGTTGTGATGACCGAGGTTGTCATAATGTTGATGATAATGATGGTAGTGTTGACCCATAATGGTGAAATGATGATGATTGTTGTTGTTGTTGTTGTTGTTGTTGTTGTTGTTGTTGTTGTTGTTGTTGTTGTTGTTGTTGTTGTTGTTGTTGTTGTTGTTGTTGTTGTTGTTGTTGTTGTTGTTGTTGTTGTTGTTGTTGATGATGATGATGACGATGGTAATGATGATGATCGTTGATGATGATTATTATTTTCGTATTGTAATGACTTTATTAGCATGATCCATAATTACAAGATATTGCTAAAGTACTGTGGTTACATCAATATAACTATTAACGTTCATAACTAACTGATAATAACATATTTTAACTTTATAGTATTTACATATTTGTGTTCACTATGAGACATATTTAAGATTACAAGATATATTGCTATTTCAGGGTTTTAATTTAATATATAGTGTCTATATCGGTTAAGGATTTTTTTTTTTTTTTTTTATAAGATTTGTTTTAGGCATTATTTGTATTTCTGGCTTCAAAGTACTCACTCAGTTTTTCAAAACTAACTGTAATATATTTTGAAAAAAACATTCAGTGCTTTTGGATCACTTTTTTAGTAGTCGAGTGTTTCGTTGCATTGTCTTTGTAATATATTGATTATTGTGGTGGCGATAATGCTGCTGCCAGTGTTGGTAATACCATATGTGATTGCCGTATAGAGTTATTATAGAGATTGTTGAAACTCGAAATACATCGAAATGCTTTCTTTTCCTTCCTTTAGGCATATTCAATGAGCCAAAGAGCTATGGTGGGAAAATTATTGGATTAGCTACGGAATATTTAACAATGGAACAGTTTTGTGATGTCTTCAGCAAAGCTCTGGCGCCGCGAGTTTTCAAGGTATTTATAAACTAACTAACTTTGTCTAAGTAGAACTAGATCCCAAAATACTCTCCTTTATAATTATTAGAAATGTGGTTGCATGAGTAGTTTAAAACAGTCAAAAATTGCTCATTTGGTGCTTAAAACAAGTAAAAGCTGCTTGGGAATGAACTGCCCCAAGAGCAGAAAGTTGCTCAAATCTCCAAGAGTTCCCAAAAAAGTTACCAAGCACAATGTATAATTAAAGGCCGAATAAGCAATTGTACCACAAATAAAAGTATTAATGATAATAAACAATACTACAAATAAAGGTAGTAGTAGTGCTGACAGTACAATACGGTATACGGAAATGCATTGTTTTTCTAATTGTTAAGAGGTTTTGTAGATGGAAATTAGACCTAACCAGGAGCAGTTGCGAAAAATGCAAATATAGAAGGTGTATAAAAAAAACTGAACAGATTTGAAATTGCTCTCAATTTCGCAAAACAGCTATCAGTATCCAGTTTTTGATGTATATGGCTTCCTTGGGTACTTGTAATGTCGAATAATGAAAAAAAAGTCTCGAACTCAAATTTTGTGAACCAGGGGGGCGTGTCTTTTCCAACCAGTGTTGTAACGAGTCACCTACAGGTCGAGTCACGAGTCGAGTCGAGTCACTCAAAGGTCGAGTCACGAGTCGAGTCGAGTCATTTCAATTTTTGATCGAGTCGAGTCAGTGGCTTCACTCGAGTCGAGTCGAGTCGAGTCAGCGGCTTCACTCGAGTCAAGTCGAGTCACTGATTTAAGTCGAGTCGAGTCAATTTCTAGACTTTACTTGAGCTACCCTAGCTTGCTGTCGGAAATTAGTAATCAAATTTGCGTTTTAAACTAATTACTTTAGTCATTTAAATTAATAACAGTATCTGGGCAGCTATAGGCTGTGCCAATATCACAGTTCCAGTCAACCACGTGAGATGTCTCATCATACCTGCTGATCGAGTGTACGTACATACAAGCGACTCGAGTTGACTCGAGTCAGAGTCAATGACTCGACTCGTTACAACACTGTTTCCAACAGACTAAAAATGGCTTGCGCACAAAATTTCTGTCTTTTCCAACAAACTAAAAATGGCTTGCGCGCGAAAATTAAAAGCTTTAATCATATTTTGAGTTAATAGGAGAAAAATTTGTTGGGTTTGTAATTACTGTCCAAAATTTCGCACAATTTGCTTTAGTTTAAGCCCTTTCACTATGCGCGCAAACATGCTTAATTAATGCCTTTGCCTAATTTGCATATGTTAGCAATATGCAAATTAAGTAAAGGCATTAATTAAGCATGCGAAAGGCTGATTTTTTAGGGGGAAATGAATAGTTAAAGGCTTAAACTAAAGCAAATTGTCTGAAATTTTGTACAGTAATTATAAACCCAACAAATTTTCCATCTATTAACTCAAAATATGATTAATGCTTTTAAATTTCGTGCGCAAGCCATTTTTAGTTTGTTGGAAAAGATATACCCCCTGGTTCACAAAATTTGAGTTCGATAATTTTTTTCATTATTCTACATTATAAGTACCCAAGGAAGCTATATACATCAACAACTGGATACTAATAGCTCTTTTGCAAAATTGAGAGCAAATTCATATCTGCTCAGTTTTTTTTATACACCCTGTAGAGTGTATAAAAAAAAACTGAACAGATTTGACATTGCTCTCAATTTCGCAAATCAGCTATTAGTATCCAGTTTTTGATGTACAAAGCTTCTTTGGGTACTTAGTATAATGTATGTAGAATAATGAAAAAAATTCTCGAACTCAAATTTTGTGAACCAGGGGGGAGTGTCTTTTCCAACAAACTAAAAATGGCTTGCGCACGGAGTTTAAAAGCTTTAATCATATTTTGAGTTAATTGATAGATGGCAAGTTCGTTGGGTTTTTAATTACTGTACAAAATTTCAGACAATTTGCTTTAGTTTAAGTCTTTTAACTATTCACGCAAACTTAAATTTTTTCCTAAAAATCAGCTATTCGCATGCTTAATTAATGCCTTTGCCTAATTTGCATATGTCAGCAATATGCAAATTAGATAAAGGCATTAATTAAGCATGCGAAAGGCTGATTTTTTAGGGGAAAAACTAAAGCAAATGGTTTAAACTAACGCAAATTGTCTGAAATTTTGTACAGTAATGAAGAATCCAACAAATGTTCCATCTATTAACTCAAAATATGATTAAAGGTTTCAAATTTCGTGCGCAAGCCATTTTTAGTTTGTTGGAAAAGACCCCCCCCCCCCTGGTTCACAAAATTTGAGTTCGAGAATTTTTTTCATTATTCTACATTATAAGTACCCAAAGAAGCTATATACATCTCAAACTCATTAATAATTCATGAGCAAATTAGCGAATGAACTCACCCTAATTCGTCACATGATTGAGGTTGGATACCGCAAGGAAACACGCTAAAAATCATATACCATCACTGTTGTTAGATGAAAAACGGTTTTCATCTAATAACTGAGATCCTAATTACAAATTCAAGTCAAAACACAACAATATACTATAATAATGTGGAAAGTTATAAGGAACTGCCTACCCCGTAAAGAGTCAACGGAACTTAATTATTCAAGAAATATCACGGAACTAGTGGAGGAGTTCAATTCCTTTTTCACGACAGTGGGAATTAAAGCATCAGAGTCTGCTACTGCACTTTTAACTAAATATAATCTACCAACCATAGACTTACCAGTACCTGCTCAAATTCCTGTGTCAGATCAATTTCATTTCCATCCGGTTTCATGTAGTGATGTACAGCAGATCACCATGTCTTTTTCCTCAAATAAGGCCCCGGGATTAGATAAAGTCCCAATGAGTATTATCAAAGATGCCTTACCATGTATCCTCCCTGCGTTAACAGATATTGTTAATTGTTCATTGCTTACGTCCGAATATCCAACATTATGGAAGATGGCAGAAGTTGTTCCCCTCTTAAAAGATGGGGATCATGAGATCGCAGACAATAATCGTCCTGTGTCTTTGCTAATTGCAGTATCAAAGATTTGTGAACGAGTTGTATTGAATCAATTGACTGACTATATGTCACAAAGACTATATGTCTACAAATTTTTAAAGTCAAACAACCTGCTGCATAAAGCTCAATCTGGTTTTCGAAATTTATTTTCCTGTGAAACAGCTATTACCTACATGATTGACAAGTTGGCTAAAGCAATAAATGAAGGATATATGAACGGAGTCGTCCTTTTAGATCTCCGTAAAGCTTTCGATCTAATTGATCATAGTATCTTGCTACAAAAGCTACGAATGTATAAATGCAGTACAAATTCTGTAAATTGGTTTTCATCGTACCTACAAAACAGATATCAAAGTACATCTGTTAATGGTAAAATATCTGCTAAACTACCTATGACGAAAGGGGTTCCTCAGGGATCTATTCTGGGCCCCTTGCTTTTTATTGTCTTTATTAACGATTTGCCACTGTCTATCCCACATGGCGACATAGATATGTATGCGGATGATTCTACCATCACGACATCTGCGAAAACCATAAACCAACTCAATGAAAACTTAAATCAAGCTATGGATGAGGTCTCAAATTGGTGTAATGACAACAAAATGATGCCAAATACAGACAAAACTGCTCATAACATGCTCATAACATCGTGGCAAAAACGGCTTCACATACCACAAAATGAAGATCTGTGTGTAAGACGTTACTTCAAAACCATTACTTGGCGTCACTATGAATCATAATCTGTCCTGGGAGGATCATATAAACACCACTGTTTCAAAGATAAATAGGAGTATAGCTCTACTTCGTAGAATTAAACGATATTTACCGCTACAGACACGGAAACTTTTCTTTAATGTGCACATTCTTCCACACATGGATTATTGTTCCATTGTTTGGGGTGGTTCACCTCATGTTAAGAAGATCAATTTAGCTCAAAAAAGAGCAGCCAGGGTAATTTTGGACATCACGGATAATCGTTACCCCAGTAAAGACATGTTTTTAACATTAAGGCCCCGTTTACACTATACCGGATTGCTATCGGAGTGGGTCAAATTTTGTAGGCATTGAAAGGCTGTGAAGATTTTTAATCTCAGAGACCCAAATAAACATGCCAATTCTGTCAAACTAATAAGCATTTGCTATTAACCATTGCTCCTTAACGGCAGAAGATGATCGCGTGACGAGCGAATCCGGTATAGTGTAAACGGGGCCTAAACTGGATGCCTATCGAGGATCGTATTAAGTACCATAAAGCTATTATGGTCTACAAAAGTCTCAATTATTTATGTCCGGATTATATGACAAATATGTTTAGGTTTGTCAGACAAGTTCATACAAAGACAACCCGATCAAGCTCTGCAAATGATCTGTATTTGCCTTCAGGAAAACATAAACAGATATATACAAATACGTTTGGCTACAGTAGTGTAAAGATATGGAACACATTAAGTTCAAACATTAGAGAAAGTGTATCTCTAAACGACTTTAATAGGAAATTTTTAACAAATTATTTTTTAACTAGTAACTGATATTTCACTCTATTGTAAATAACTTCAACTCATATTTTTAACTAAAATAGCGAGGGCCCTGAGGAAGATAAGTCTTTTGACTTACCAGGTATATTAGCTATGTAATATTTTTAACCCTCTGTAAATAATGTTTATTGATTGATTGATTGATTGAAGAAAAAGATATACTGAACACCAAAGTGGCAATCGAAAATTACATTCTACAGAAACATTAAACATTTTTATAACAGATCAAATCTTGCAGTCCATGGATCGTAAAGAAGTTACGGCCTTAGTTTTAATAGACTTATCCAAAGCATTTGATAGCATAGATCATTCAATTCTACTAGTGAAACTTCAAACCATTGGTGTGTCTAATTCAGTGTTGGCATGGTTTAAAAGTTATCTATCGGGACGAAGCCAAATAGTACCTATTGGGTCGACATTGTCGGAAACATGTATTATAACTCGAGGGGTACCTCAAGGATCTATTCTTGGGCCGGCATTATTTAACATATATATTAATGACCTACCCAATGTTCCAAAAGAGTCCTCTTTGGAATCTTATGTGGATGATTCGAAAATCTATCTGGCATTTCCAATTCAAAATGTTGAAACTGCTGCGCTTAAACTTACACAAGATATGGAAAGAATTACCGCATGGTGCTGTATAAATAGTCTGCTAGTGAATCCAAAGAAAACGAAACTTCTATTACTGCATGGTACAAGTCAAATGCTGAAAACACTCTCTGGCACAGATTTCCATATAACTGTTCTTGGTGAGAAAATAATCCCACTTCAGACGGTTAAAGATTTGGGAATGACTTTGGATTCAAGTTTGACTTACGACAAACATACTGTCGATACCGTCTCAAAATGTGTCACTGAATTATGCCAAATCAACAGAGTTAAGCATATTTTCGACTAACACACTTTATCCCTTATTATAAATGCTCTGGTCTTTCAGTAAAATGTATTATTGTTCCTCCGTTTGGTCGAACACCTCTAAAAGGAATATATCAAAACTGCAAAGCGTGCAGAACTTCGCGGCACGCGTTATTACTGGAATCAGAAAATATGACCATGTGACGCCTATCCTTCAGCAATTAGCTTGGCTTCCAGTTGAGTGTATGTTAAAACTCAGGGATGCGGTTATGACATATAAGTGCTTGAAAGGGTTAGCTCCGCCGTACTTGTGTGACAAATTCCAAATGAGATCAAAGATTCACAGTGCAGTTAACACCAGAAATAAGGACAAGTTAGACGTTCCACTGTATAATTCGGCTTCTGGACAGCGAACGTTTCATTATCGCGCAGTGTCTATTTGGAATGAGCTCCCAAATCATATTAAAGACATTGACACTTTGGACCAGTTTAAAATAGAATATAAACGTCATTTATTGCATGGATTTTTAGAAAGTAGTTAATAGTTTTAGACAATTTGGACTTGTTTAAATTAGCATATAAACGTACTTTTTACTGTATGGATTTTATTAGGAAGTAGTTAATCATTTTTAAAGTGACATTACTAATAATTATAAAATTTTTAATTTGTGTTTGTATGTATGTACGTATGTTTGTGGGTGTATATATATATTGTTTGTAGTATATAAATGATTTGTAATTACCTGCTGAAAAGCCCTTTTGGGAGCAGGCAATATTGTAATAATAATAATAATAATAATAATATATATAAGCCAATGATATGTTTTCGTTTGAGATGCTGTGTAAACAACTCGTTTCTCGTGTTTCATCAGGGGACCAAACACTCGAAAACAATAAATACAGTTTTCTCGTGTTTGGATCCCCTGATGAAACACTCAAACTCGTTGTTTACATATAACATCAAAAACTGGATACTAATAGCTGTTTTGCGAAATTGAGAGCAAATTCATATCTGTTCAGTTTTTTTTATACACCCTGTATAGGCCCTCTGGCAGGAATCGATGCACTATTTTCACTTTATAGGATGCCAAACAAACAGCAGATCAAATGGAAAAACTTGGTTTCCCTGGCGCAGATTTGTTCGCAACCATGTTCAGGCTTTACCAAAAAGGAATCGATCGTGATATAGCACTTACAAAGAAGCTGAATCCGAAGGCAAAATCGTGGGAAGAGTTCGTTGTTAGTCACAAAGAATATTTTTAAAATAACTTGTAAAACTAGCTGATATTTATAGCCTGGACAACTTGGGCAACAGGCCAAGTTAATTGTAGTATTATAACCTATTGAACTGTATTATTATTATACGATCTTAGGATGTCTTTGTCTCGATGCAGATGTAATGATGAAATGATACTCGTAGTGGTGACGATTTAACAAATATAAAACATTTTCCGTGTTGATATACAGTTATATCAACACGAGTGGAAATTGGGAAAACGAGAAATTGTGTGGAAACCTTTTCACACAATTTCGAGTTTTCCCAACTTCCACGAGTGTTGATATAACTATATATCAATACGGAAAAAATGTTTTATATTTTTTTTATAATATAGCAATGTCAAAAGCCCGAAGAATAAGAAAAATTTCCGTGTTTACAAGCGGCGGAAAATTTCCCGTGTTGACATGGAGTTATATCAACACGGCTCTTAGCCAATCAGCGTTCAGAATTTACAAATACTAGTTATAAAATGATATAGTGCATAGTGATGATGATGGTGATTTTGATAATTAAGTGTTTGTAGTACGTCAGAATTTTACGCCCTTTTCCCCGAGCCAATAACACTTTACTCGGGATAACTACTCACAACTGATAAATTTGTAACGATCTATCGAAAGTTTATGAAATATTTAAACCTCTATGTCACTTACAGGGTTTCAACTCTTTTATTGAAGTTGAAATGCAGGACATTTTTCTGTAGATTGAAGGATCTAGACCTGGAAAATTTGAAAATGGCACAGATTTTGCTTTATGAAACTCTACAATTTATTCAAAATCAATTGTGTATATAATGTTTAAGCACAGAATAACAATTTAACCGGAGGCTCCACTCTCCACATTACACTCTTTTCGCCGCTATCTGAAACGAGCGCGGCCAAGCCATGCAAATTTATGCAACGGACTCGTTTCCAGATCGCTAAACAAATGTAATCAGCTTTTTGATATGTCGAGAGTGGGACTTCTGGTTAAATTGTTATTCTGTGGTTTAAGTATTATCAGCACAATTCGAAAGGAATTCCAGGACTTCTACTGGTGGTGGTGACGATGGTGTAGTAATGATGACGATGGTGGAAATTATGATGATGGTGCTGGTGGTAGTGGTGATGATGATGTTTGTGGTGTCACTCTGAGTGTGCATCCACACCGAGCAAGCTGAAAAGTTTGCCTGACCACAGTGGGAATCGAACCCGTGACCTTTGGGATAGTAGTCCAATGCTCTACCAAGTACGCTACGAGGCCAAGTTGGTTCGAGTTGGTGATATTTCGGAACTGAGTCTAGTTCCTACGATATCAATGTATTCTAAGATATACCACTTTTTGTGTGTGTTGGTGTTATGTATTCAGGTGAGTACATAACGCCAACATACGGCTTGCTCGGTGTGGATGTACACCCAGAGTAACACCACAAACATCATATTCACCTGAGTACATAACACCAACACACACAAAAAGTAGTATATATATATTTCCCTCGCGCGTTTCCTCGCTTCCGCGTGTTTTGTCTACTGACCGCTTTGATATAACTGTATGGAGCTTTATTCACGCATGACGAATCTCATGACTCACATGAGGAATCTCATGTGAACTCACATGAGTGATCTCATGTAAACTCACATGAGTGATGTCATGTAAACTCACACTGGCATGAGGAATCTCATGTAAACTCACGAGGAATCTCATGTAAACTCACACTTGCCACTTTCGTGTGGCTCCTGTTCCTGTTAAACCGAGTTATGACACATGCGAGTCATCTGTACACTCCCGCTTGTCAACTCGGATGGGACTCTTGTTCCAGAGGGGATAAGGCAGAATTTTGAAATGGGGAATTTTGTTCACTTTTTTGTGTAATATGAAATTTTTCGGTCACAGTCCAATGGAATGAGGAATCATTTCAAAATATGTCATGAAATACGAAATTTTCATTTTGAACAGTTTAAGGATTAATAACTTCAACTTTTGGGTATTTAGCACGAAATCCCCCTTGGGAATGCGGAAATTTTATTCTCGAAAATTTCGTCTCATCCCCCGAAGAGTTGGTAATTCTGGCTTGTCAACTCTTACTGACTGAGCCATATGGCTCTTTGACTGAGCCATAATTTGGAGAGACTCTAGTGCAAACTCTTTCTTAGTTTCTTGTATACCCGATCTCAACGATTAACAGTACGTCTGCCGGATGCGATATACTGTACATGTAGACAGTGCTTGCAATTACACCATGCGATTATAGGATAAACGGTAACTCTTTGAGATATTTCGGAAACTTCTCAATATCTGTCTAGGTGTGTCAGGATACTGGACCAGAAATGAAAAATGCAAATTATCTAGAATTATTATATTTATAAAAATTACGTCAAAGTTCCCGAAACTGAAGTATGATAACTTAATCATTTCCTTATTGAGGTAGACATGCCAATTTTTCTGTTAGGCGTCTGGTCTAAGAATATACTATGTTGACTTAGCAGACGAATCTTGAAGGCTATAGTACCATTTATCAAAGGAAATTATAATATAGCATTTGTAAATTCTGAACGCTGATTGGCTAAGAGCCGTGTTGATATAACTCAATGTCAACACGGGAAATTTTCCGCCGCTTGTAAACACGGAAATTTTGCTTATCCTTCGGGCTTTTGACATTGCTATATTATAAAAAAAATATAAAACATTTTTTCCATATTGATATATAGTTATATCAACACTCGTGGAAGTTGGGAAAACTCGAAATTGTATGAAAACACTCCGCCCTTCGGGCGTCGTGTTTCCATACAATTTCTCGTTTTCCCAATTCCACTCGTGTTGATATAACTGTATATCAACACGGAAAATGTTTTATATTTGTTAAATATAAGTCTATAATGCTTTGTAATCCAAATAATGATCATGATTTTAAATGTGCAGACGAAATTTTCGTCTATGGCTTTTATTTATTTACTTTCTATACTTTTGGATTTGGCCTTCGTCGTGCAGGAATCTTTGTGCGTCAAATTGCGTTCTGTATTGGGTTCGTTTTAACCTGCATATATATGGCGCAGAAAGACTGACTCAGGGTCTGTTTACATGATCCCGCTATAACGGGACGAGATGTGACTTGGGATGATTTTGATGTACTGAAAAAATTAATTAGAGTGCACGATTCAGCAAAATTACATTATTTTTCCATGGATAAATTATTGTATTGTAAACGAAAGGTTATTCAAGCAGCAAAAATAATCTTCTTAAACTACGAGATCTTTTCTACAACATTTGAGTTCTTTTAACCGGCTTTCGATTTCGCCTAGTGATTTACTTCAAATACATCAAAATCATCTCGCCTTCCATCCCACTCTGGCAAACCGGGCTCATGTAAACAGCTCCTTATTCCCACGACTCTGTATAAACCAGCGAGTCTATATATATATCAAAACCCCACGCTTTAGTTTCAATAAGTGTAGGATAAAATGCAACACGATGCGACCATTGTATCATTTGTTTCTCACGAGGTCAGCGGTATACCAACGGTCAAGGGCATGACACATGTGACTATATATTGGCGTCTTTTGTTTCTTATCTTACACTTATATATAGAGGATAGCTGCATAATACAGTGCTACTCATGAGGTCAGCGGCCTCTGTACCTACACTCAAGTGTACGACACGTGTTACTATATTCGAGCCCTTTGTTCCGCCTTATCTATATAGCCCTCGTATACAAACGCTGAAATATAACGCGTCTCTTTGTCTTAGAAGCACGCCAAAGAAAGACACATCTACACAGCTGGCACGATTGGCGTGCTTTTGAGCTTTATCCATCACATTTTCCGCGTCACTTGGCAGCATTACTGCATTCAGTAACTAAAAATGGCCACAAAGTCAGTAATGCTTTACAATTGACACAGCTGGAGCCTAATGAGTTGTTCCAGTAACGCGTAACGTTGTTTAGGCCATATTGCAGTTGGCCAATGCTTGCAGGGTTGAGTTTTGATGGCATAATTTCGAGAATTATAAACCGTGCCTGGTAATACCTAATTTGATTTTAGCACATGTACTTCAGTGGCTGTGATACGATTTCTGCAATATACAGTTGTTGGATTATAATTTTGTCTCAGTCACATGTGAGAAGAATGATTCAAGTTTGATTCCACTTAAAACCGCGAGTTTTCTTCGTCGGGCACTACAGTTTTCTCATAGCAACAGTGGAGCGTTAAGTAATTCTTACTTGACCTCCAGGGAGAATAGTTTAGAACTGATAGCGCATTATATAAAGCTATCAAGTATAACTAAAGTTAGCACATATTATAAGTTTAGCTTCCTGTAGTAACACTGTAGTATTATTACTCTAGACCAATAAAGATGCCTCTCACATGACTGTTACAGAGGACAGTTTAGACAAAACATCAAATCAATATATAAGAACTGATCCTTTAGGGAAAGTAGCATAAAACTGATAAAGCCGGCTTATACTGGTATAAGTAAAGTTTTCAGGTTAGTTTATTGTAAGTTCGAATACAGGGGACGATTTAAGGTACTCAAGGTTATTATAATTGCAGTTTACCAATCAAAATCGCGTATACAGTTTAGAGTACAAAACTACCGAACAATGGCGGTTACACTGTATAGCACTTGAGAATTTTATACAACCAGATCTGTTAAATAAAGGACGGACCCGGCTTTACTGGAAAGTCAGTTTTACTAGAGTTGAAAGAGCTATCCAGTATAATTACGTTAGTGTGCTTTAGTTTTCTCATCTAAGGCTGTAACTGGCATTGATATAATAGTGGAACAACCGAGTTATCTCTGGAAAAGTTTTGATCTGCATCAGTATAGAGCGACCAAATATAGACGTAGTTAATTTCAGCAAACGAAAGGTGTTACCCAACTTGGTCTGTTATTGTTTGGACACATTAATGGACAACAGATTACTATTTGCCAAAAAGCGTAACGAAGCCGTAAATGGCTTTTGGGTAGCAATGAAAAGAAACTAGATCTGGTACAAATATTGACATTAATT